TGTGGTAGTAATCCTACGTCTTTCCACGATCCTAAAACGGAACGCGTGGAAGGTTTGTCTAGCCTGGATCTAGTAGCGTGGAAGTACTCCACGCTAGCTAAATATCTAGAGCGATGTTTCATCATCAATGTAGTATGACTAGCGCGGTCATTGAGAACCCTGTCTCAAATGACTATTCACGAGAGACTCAGTCATGAGTCGAACTCAAACCCTATCTAGGATCGAGTCGCGAATAAGGCTAAGAGCCGTGTATTGCACAACATCACATCAAAAACAAGACACCACCCCTCATTTTTTCTTGCCACTGCTCCCTCCTCTAAAGTAGATGTACTTTGTCACTCTCATGGTAACATTCAGAAGGTACTCCCCATACCTACTATGTCAATATTTGCATGCCCGTCGCACTGGTTTTTTATCTAGAAGTCTATTTGGTGGCTGTGTAATTACTCAGGAGCTAGCAAACTGGAGGAGTACATTTTCTCTTTTTCTGTATTTTCTGTGGTTAGTTGACCCTGGGCAAGTCCTTTCCCAAGCCCAGACTATCTCTGCTTCACACAATGGCAACACCAATGAAATGAATATCCAAATCTGTACCGGTACCACGCCAGTCAGCTGGTGGAGTCGGTCTCGACAGCCCCAGTCAAACCAACAGATCTCTTCCAGCTTCCAGTACGACGGAAGTCAATCGCAACATCGCAACTAGTACAACGCAAGCCTCAGTCAATCGCACTGCCGACGGCCGATGTACTACCATTGTTCGATGCTCTGGATAACAAAAGAGGCCGCTTTCCATGTTATCAATCCTCACTCAAGCCGACCAGCCGACCACTCGCACCTCTACGGTACTGGTACATCAAGCCTTGGTCCGAACCATACACGACAACTTGAATGCACAGAGTGGATCACTACTGGATTCATCCCTCCATGTTGTTTCCTAGTGTTTTGGTGGGGATTCCTGTGCCAATTGTCCTGTATGCACAAGTCCCCCACCATTGGTAGAGAACATCTCGCCTCTGACGTACGACCATAACTCAATTCCAAAGTAAGCTTATCTCATACCGGTGCATAGACATATCTGTAATGTTGGATACAGATCTGTAACATGACCTATTTGATATAAATACAGTAGCTTACAGTTGTGATCTGCAGGTTGCTTATTAGTGGTTGGTGGTTGGTAGGACAAGTAGCTTGGACCTTGGATCCTGTGCCGGTACTAGTAAATTGCTGTAGTGTAAGATCAAAAATATTTCTTAAAAGAGTGAAAAAACAAAGAGCCTGGAAAGTCCCGCAAATGCTGAAATCGCTGAAGTCAGTGTAAAAGTGTTGAATTCTGTTTCAACAGTAAGAGTTTTCTTTAAACAGTTAGTCAACACTTTTTCAGCACTTTTTCAACACTTTTTCAACACTGTTGAATACTGTTCAACACTGTTTTCAACACTTGTTGAATCCAGTACTAGTAGTTTGCAGTAAAAGTGTTGAAAATGATGTACAAATTTTCAACAGTATTTTCAACAGTTGCTGAAAGAGAATCAACACTTAATCAACACTTTTTCAACACTTAATCAACACTTTTTCAACACCTGTTGATTTTTTTCAACAGTTCAAGGTGCTTAATTATGGTTTATCGCAAAATACAGCTTTTGCGGGACTTTCCTGGCTCTCGGTCTTTAGGCTGGTAGCCAGCCACTCCTGTGAAGACAAACAAAGCCTGAGATTTTGGGCCCCCCTTTCCTTACCTCTCATTTAGTAGCCTAAAAAATAAGCTGCTTCTTGTTTCGCTGTTCAATCATGGAGGTGGTGTCTTTATTGGTAAAAGTTAAAATCCTACCTGCTACAGTACTATGTACCGGTAGCTAGTGCTTACATGTACATGTACATACCGGGATGTCCCCGTACCTCTGCAATCCAATGGCGAGATCCAGAACAGTGATTTGACGTTGTGCGGAGGGGGTGGATGGGGTGGGGAAATCGAGGTGGCAAGCTAGCAAGAGTTCGTTGTGAGTTTCAGCCTCATTCTCTCTTTTCCAAGTCCAGCTGCTTGTGGCGAAGACCCTGCCATGCATATTCTGGCTGATTTGATTGATGGTGTTCTTGTTCCAGCCTTCTCAGGGCTCGTTCTTTCGCCGAATCACTCAAGCTCCCACAGATCATCGGTCTAGCAATTAAAAAGAGGCAAGCAGTTTGCGGTAGCTTTCTCCAGTTTATATCAATGCTGATGTGCTCCCACCTTATCGATTCGACGCCCTCAAACGCCACGGCAAGGCTCAAGAGCAGGAACAAAGATGCACATTCATTTGGCTTTCTGCTGCAGTTGCTGGCTTGAACGGCCATTCAAGAGACACGGCAGCAACCCCCGCCGCCCTCGACTTGGTCTAAACAGGGGGGATCGGAAACATTTGAGGCCATGCCAAGCCCTCATTCAGAGTGTTGGCGCCAGATCTGGGAACGAAAGCCTGGAGTGTGCCGAGGTACAGCTCCTTGTACGACCCCAATGCCGAGATACAGTCCCGGAGGCACTGCTTTAGGTGTTCTCCAAACAGGGTGACAACGGGCATAGATGAAGAGTCTTGCTTCGTGATACCTTCCTCTTCGGCATACACAACGGCCATGACCATCCAATAAACGAAGTCGCTCCACTGTGAGTCTTCTTGACGGGTTAGAAATGCAAATGCATCGTTGCGTTCGTTGTCATAATAGTAGGGAGACGAGAATGTGAAACCATGTCCAGTGTTGGGTTCATTGCAGCCTGCCTGGAGCGTCACACGGGCACCGCCTACAACATCAACCGTGGTATTGGACAGAGCAAAGTAAGATTCAACGGCGTCCTGGAGTTCCACAAAAACAATCTTGGTTTTGTCGCCAGCAAAGAGCGATGCTGCAAGGCCTCTGCAAAATTCAACATCGAAGCCTGTCCAAGCCAGATTCGTTGCCTCGGCTGCTGGGTTTGACACAAAGCCAGGACCTCGAGATGGCAGTACCCCACATCTCAAATAACCACGTCGAAGCACAGTATCCAAGGTGCCGTTGAGGACTGGCCCAGGCCCAGGTTCTTCAACTTTGCCAAAGGGGATGGCATAGAGCAGTCCCGAGGACTGAGACTTGTCGTACACCGAATTCAAGCCATACTGTCGAGGGATCAGGCTTTCAATATGTTCTGCATATCGATCACCGTGATTTCCAAACTCTGCAATCATCGACACCAGCAACGGTGATATGTTGCCAATGCCTTCGCTGTTCTTCTGGACACCATGAAGGACGTTGCTTTCGGAAATGGTACTGTTTTCAACGAAAAGGTTTGCCATCTCCTCGGCATTAAGCTTGGAAATGTTGTGCGCCTCCGCGAGGGTAAATGCATGGACAACCAAGTCAACCAGGAAGCTCCACTCCGGATCATTGCTTCTTGTGACTAGAGCCAACGGTTCCTTTGAAAAAAACTTTGCGCCCACTTTGAAATCCTCACTTCTGCCATAAAGTTCTTTCGCCTGTGGTGGAAAGGGTGGCTCTGTTGCAAACGCATTGCATTTTCCTGATTCCAGATTGGCAATCAGCTCCGGGGTTCCCGTGAAGGGGGCGATGACAGAGCCAGGCAGAGTATCGTAGACAATGTTAATGTGCGTTGTTCCTTCAGCCACACAGACTTTCAAGTCCCGACAGACTCCGTTGAAGCTATCATAGTTTTCTGCACAATCAACAAAGTTGGCAGTGCCTGCAAAAACCAATCCAGCATAAACATATGGAGTAGTGAAGGTGAATCCTGTTTGACTACTCCCTTCATGAACATCTCGGCCCCTGAGATGAATTCAGGCAAACAGAAATGGAAAGTGTCAGAATTGTTGGAAGCGCATCCAAGGTATCATCGACGAGAAACGACAATCTCTTACATGGTGTGAGTCGTTCCTTCTGTCAATAGATCCACAGTTCGGTTCTGAAGGAATAGGAACCGGGTAGTGGACGTGACCCAGAAGGGCTCAAATTTGGTTGAATCTCCTAATGCCAACAATGCCACCGCTTGGCATTGTTCCACATTGAATCCAGATATCTCCTTGGTATCTTCGTCAATTGAAACGAAGGCTCCTTCATCCATCCCGCATTTGACATACCCACGTTCTCTGACAATCTCCAGAGTAGGACGTTCGTCAATCAACATCTCGTTGTCATCGTCGTCGTTGTTCTTGTCGTTTTCCGTGTCATCGTTGCTCTTGGACGACAACGACGAGGCCAGCCCAATAGCAAGACTCAATGCAATCACCAGAGTAACAAGGGCAAGAGCCATCCAGCGCTTATGAGAACCATGGTTTGTCACAACATCAGCCTGAACAGCCTCTTCCAATACTTTCTTCCTAATCTCTTCTTCTATTTGAGCCCTTTCAACCTCTTCTTCTACTACGACAGCTTCAATGTCGTGGTGCAAGGATGTGGGTGGCACATGGGTAGGGTAGGCTGACTGTTCCTGTCGCGGTGGTTCATTGTGCCCCATCGCGGTGGAATCAGCCTCCTCTCTACTGGAAGTCCTGGGAGTCCCACCCGTTCCTGTCACCAAAAAGGCACCGGGAGCAGATGCATTCAATGAAGCGACACTGCGGGCTCCTGGTTGGGCTTGTTGCTGGTCTTCTTCTTGTGGCAAAGCCATGATTTGTTCAATGGTGAATGGATCATAGGGCATCTCTGAATTGTGCTGCTGGCTGGGTGCCATTGATGACTCCTGAACCACTTTTGTTTGGTTGTCTTCCTGTGATATGGCGTTCTTCGTCATTCCGCCACTATGAGGTTTTGCCATGGTTTCCTTAGATTGGTGCTGCTTCTGCACCATTGCCGTTTGGCTTGGATCCTTGGGCGCGGTGTCGTCGCATGCGTCCATCATGGCAGCGACTCTGACAGCCTCCTTCTCACTCGCGCCGGTATTGATCTCAGCGTCCTGATCTTCCTTCTCCTCCCCGTCGTCTACGCTTTCGAGGGAGGGATACATGGTCCCAGAAGGAGGATAGAGATCAACATTGTGCAATTCTGTGACTGAAGATACATGGGATTGCTCCTCATGGGCTACGTCGCAATCTTTCGAGGTTTCTTCCATGCTTGGTGGCTACAATCTTCCAGCTCGAGCTAGCTATAGTGGCTACAGGTACTTGCAGAGAGCATTTTTTTGTGGACATGAGGGAGTGCCCGAAACACTTTTGTTTTAGCTCAGTGGAACTTTGAAAGGAGTAGAGGTGGAAGCAGTTGCCACACACCTCACACCATCTCCTTCTTCCAGTTCATCAAGGGTTCGGATCGGAATCAGAAGCTACTGCGGTGTAGCAGCAACTCAAGAAGAACAGTATCAGGTACATCGTACCTGGTACTAGTACCACCGCCGTACGCGTAGTACACTACTAGTAGCTAGCCAGTGGACACTGCACCGGTGTTCTACCGTATTAGATGATGTTGAGCTGTGTGTTTATCTATTATTGAATAAATAACAACAGTTTCTTTTCCAAAGAGAGGAGATAAAGGAGAGAGTTGGTGGTTCTTCTGCTGGTTCTCGGTATGCACTCCAGATCCGCGGAACCAGTGATCCTAGTGATTATGACCTTCTTCGATGGAAAACATTATTTTATTTAACTAAAACGGTTCCAGGTACAAGTACCGCAAGGTTCCAAGTTCTAATAAATCCAATAACAAGTGTTGCAGGTTCGGTGAGATGAATGGTTGCAGTAATGATTTGTTGGGGTTTGATGTCCAGGTGACTCTGTATACTTTACTATGTACTGTACTGAGTACTGCTCAGTACTTACATGTATGTACACTACTTGTAGGTACCGGTATGCATACTTGTATGCCTACAGTACCAGTACACGACGACTGTCACTCATACGAATGATGAATCACGAAGAAGGAGTACCGAACTGGTAGCTGTACCGGTACAGTCGTACCTGGTACGGTGCCAGCCAGTTCCTCGAGACGCAACCACAGGCCAGGCAAGCAGGGAAGGAGCAGGCTACAGTGCTTATTACCTCGGCAGTCTATCTGCCTGAGCCCTCACCCCCTTTTTTGGTATTTCCTATTTCCTGTTTCCTGTTTCCTATTCCGGTGAAGCCAAAAATAGGGATAGAGATAGGTGTAAGCCAACAAAACTGGAAATTGAAGGTTTAACAAGTTTAGGGGTAGGAATAAAATCATAGTTGTTCAAGGTTAGTGCACTCAACACAATAAGCAAGCAGAAGCTACAAAGGTAACAGTTACATAAGGGAATGATAGCTGTAAATTTTGGTTAGCGGGCGACAACACCTGACTGGCGACAACACCCGACTTAATAAGTCGGGTGTTTTTGCCAGGGCTAGCTTAAATAAAAAAGAAGATTACAATGAGGGAATGATATCGGGCGGCAACACATGACGAAGTCCGGTGTTGTCGCCAGGGCTAGCTTGAAAGAAGAGTGCAATCTCAAACATGTCATCCTTCTTCTATCTGTCTTTCTGCCGAGGTATCACAGCTCCCGCTGACTTAAACCTCGACAGTCTATCTGCCTGAGCCCTCACCCCCTTTTTTTGTATTTCCTATTTCCTGTTACGTCTCCTGAGACGACGCACCTTTTGGTTACCCCCTCAGTTGCACTCCAAAATCGATTTGCCGGCGTTTACTGTGTAAAGTAGAGTAGCGGCACTTAAGTTACAGAATCAACGGTCATGTGTATCCATAAGTACCAAACGTGTACTTACCTTTTTTTAACGTCTGTACAGGTACTTTTAGATCGATTCGTAGATAAAAAGAACCGTTGAAGGTTCTAAGGTTAAGGTTAAACTAATTCAATCGCACGCGCACATACCCGTACAGGTTCAGCCAAATCCATTGTTAAAGGTGCAGCACTGACTTCTCTCCCTCATTGAATTGCTATGGCAAACAGGAGAGAAATCCAAGCTTGGCTGACAAGAATGGTGTTGGAACGATCAATCGAATGGATCGCAATGAGGAAAGCCTATCATCAAGAGTGTCAATTGAAGGTACAGCACTGACTTCTCTCCTTCATTCAATTCCTATGGTAAACAGGAGAGAATTCCGAGCTCGGCCGTCAACAGGTGAGTTGTTCTTTAATTATTCGAATCGAATCGATCGCACCTCTCCTATCAAGCCTCACTTAAGCCATCTGTCTCTGGTGTAGATCCATCCCTCATTGAATCCTATGGGCCATGGGATGGCAGTCAGTTCTTGGCCCATGACGGCCAAGTTGGAGCAATTTGAAAAGCAAGGGTAAGTCGCCGGTTTTCTTGAGCAACCATCGAGAAGAGAATCTTACTGCCATTCTTACTTTCTCTTGGGCCGCTCCTGACTGCCAATGAAATCCCATTGTCGAGTCCTTTTCGAACGATCGGTTAACAAACTACCGCTACTGAAAGCGTTACAGTTCCTCCCACGACTCAGAGTATCCGTGAGTAGATTGAGTCATGCTTTATGAGTCAACACGATGGAACAGAGAACGCTGGCAAGAACACGTTCTCAACGAAACCAAAGGACACCGGTAAATTGGAGTATTCGACAGGAGTAAAGCATCCTGCCAACGAACCGTTTCCCGCAGATACCACGTTGACTTCCATATGAATCAAGATCAACTACCACGATGCATTGATCAACACGCTACGAACTAGCTTTACTGATCGCATCAATCAAGCTCACAACACAGATTATGAATTACTAAGAAGCGAACTTTCATTTACTTTGCACTCGTCTTAAATAGTTGCAGCTGATCTCGTTGGGTGGTAGCTACCTCTAAAGATCCCTCTATTCAAGTAGTATTTCCTCCGTTACAGATTAACTAGTCGCAGTTACCACTGCCACACCTCATCAAGTTGGCCGATGAACAGCCAGGCTCAAGCATGTCCTATGCAACCTATGCGGCAAGACGCTCCACCACAGGGTACAATGCATCTCACATGCGCATCGACTGTCTGAACAAGAATCGACGGATGGATGGATCTCCTACTTCTCACAAAGATGAAGTTATGAATCTCCAAGCTTCCAACGACACCACGGCGCTCCAAGACCAGTACTCTCACCAGGAAGAAGCTACTGCTCGCGGCGAAACGATGTATCACCATTGGTCGTTCAAGAGGAAGGCACCCTCCGCTCGTCTCGCTGAAGGCCACCGCGCTCGATGCTTTCAGAGTTGGACTCTTCCAGCCGCAACAAATGAGACGCAGCGATGCACGATGACCGATGGGGACGTGCAATCGCACTTTGGGACAAGAACAACAAGCCGTCCGCTCAGAGTTCAGAGAGTTTCGCGGCGAATCAGTCTTCATCAAATGGAGGAAGAACTTCCTCAACACGCTCAAATCTCAAGGTCTCTCCCACCTCATTGATTCTGCTTCACGGTCACCAACGTCGAACTAGACGAGAACAACGAGAATGGATGTACAAGACCTTCGAAGACATCTTCCAAGAAACACAGGCAGATCTGTCGTCCTTGCAACGAAACCACAAGGACACTTCGTGCGATCTGGAAGGCAATGACGAATATTACTCCAAGTCCATGGCGCACCCTGCGCTCGGATAAGTTTTCGTGTTATCTCACCTCCGCGATATCGCAGAAGGTGTATGGAGAGGGTCCCAAGCTGGTTTCATCTCCAACTTCCTCGACAATTTCGGCAGTACAATGAGATCAGCGACGAGCCGTAAACTGACCAACAGGGGCACGTTTCTTGGAACGCTCAATCTCCAAGGCACCAAATCTCGCCCCTTACGACGTCTCGCACTGCAACAAGAAAGCTGCAGGCGACACCCCCAGTATACGCTCGAGCAATACCGAGCAGCCCTTCTCAGCAAGCACAACTCCATGACAGTGCAAATCATGCACGTCCACACGCTCTCGAGGCAACGCTCGTCGTCGCACCTACAACACGAAATTCTCTTCGATGATGGTACAGCGAAACCTGTGACAACACCTATGAGGGTTCGTCACGATATGGATACACCGGTGGAGGCCTATTGCAAGCTCATCAGACAGACACTCTGGTCCAGCAAGGTCATGATGAACGCAACCACATGGCGGTCGTTGTCCAAGTCGGATCAAGAGGCATGGGATAATATCTCGAGCAGGGCAAGAAAGCATCCTTGACTACACGGCTGACTTAGCTGTTCGACGTAGTCACCACAACTTGGGCAATCACGCCCATCCGCTCAGTCAACTCCCATACTTCCTCGACGTGGGCAACACCACGCCACGAGCAGGCAACCTAGAAGTGTCCTCGCACCAACCAAGTCCAACACAGACGGACACTGACCTTTGCAGCTCGCGTGCAACAAGACGCATTCAACGCCAGATCCTTGCGGTGATATCGCGTCTGTCCTATCACAGCCGCCCAACACGGCTACACGCGAGGTACGAGTCCACGAGGTTGATCGCTCATCCTACGATCCTACTCCCACGAGATGTTGTTCAGCGAGCCAGAGATTGATCCTGATTGGCAACCTTCGTATATTTCTCTGATGGATCCGAGGACAGCCAAACACAAACCTCTCGTGAAAATACGACGAAACCGGTGGACCTCCTCGACGTACCCAACGAAGCGATCCTCCAATGCCCGCATCGACGATGGAGAAACAATCTTCCCATCCGGTGATCAGGATTTCTCCAGTTTGCTTACGGTACCTCCCAATACGGGCTATTGATACGAGTATCCAACAACAAATCCAAGAGGATCACACAGGGTACCACACCTTCGAACCGCAAGTTCTATCGATGAACCCTTCGACTCTGGACACGTCAACGCATCTCTCAGCTATGGAAGCACAGCTGGATCCTACGGCACCTCCTGTGTTGGCACACTCATGGCCCACCATACCATCAGATTCAGCAACCTGGCATACCTCTTGCTTCGTCAGCGTCAAGTGCCCCAAGCTTGAACAACAGCTCTTGGCCAATCTTACAGCGGAAGAAGACCCGTCAAGGAGGCACCTTTGCGGAGATACCCGCTGATAGATCCAGATTCACTAGCGCTCGATATTTCCCAACTCCAACTCAATCCTTCCTCTGATATTGAAGCCGATATCGACACTGACTCAGTTTCGCGACACCAAGCGAGGCTGACTTCCCGAAGACCCATCCATGCGCCACATCAAAGGCACCCATGGAATCCGCAAGCTGTCCGACAACGCCGAGTGCCAGGCAGACTCCTGCTGCGCTAGCACCTGTTGGTTGCTAGTAACACCTAGCTTAGTAAAGGTAAAATACTGTTTTACTGTTAGGCTATTTCCAAGAAGTGAATTTCTCCATGTATTTCTGGGATTGATTCAACTTCAAGGATATAGTGAAGGGGTTAATATAGATCAGTTAACTCCCCATGTATGTAACTAGAGAATAGATATAGATATCCCTATCAACTAGATTGGGTTAAACGAATAATTTGTATTGAGGTGTCTGTAATACAACCTCCAACACACTCCTGCACGGTTCCATAAAGGAAACCGTGGAACGAATAATTAAGTAATGATGGTTGCTC